CCTAACAAAGACGACTTCATACTTAGGGTTCAAACCCGAGACTGCTAGTTAAGGATAAAGCAATACTTACCACTCCACCACAACCCTCGTCGTACATCCTCCCAAATTTATAACGTCCTTACTTGTGCTGCAAATTAAAAATACAACCAAATGAAGCATAAAATAATATTTTCTTTGTCCCAAAAGGAATAAATACAGTTTAGATCAAATTTCTTAGTATTGACGTTGGATTCGAATATAAAATCTTTTATTTTATTTTTTGAAATAATATTTACGTATTTAGAAACTATATAAAAACTATTATAAGTTACAATAATTAACAATCCAAAATATTTAAAAGGCATATAAAAATTAGCGTCAAAGAGCAGCTCATTTGACTCTCGAAATTCAAATTATATTATTTTTATCAAATTTCGTACTATAATTATTTTTTATAATCTTAGTTAGGCATTACTATATTAATAGAGAACAAAACGCAATGTTGATTTCTATATGATAAGTGACGGTTCATCAGTTCTTACTATCTCTATTTAGAGTGACAATATATAATGAAGAAGTAGCAGCAAGAAGGCACTTTACTAAAAACATTAATAGATAAATATTTACAGAAAAAAAAACAAAAATGATAATGCTATAGTAGATTTTCTTTATGTAATATAACTACTTAGTTCAATATCTTTGATAGGCAGCTAGCCTTTGTAGTTCATCCAACATTGATAATACCATGGATACATTCTTGAAAAATTGCTGCAAAAATTGCCCTTTAACTTGACTACGTAGATTTAACATGTCCCTTGAGAGTCTAATATTTCTCTAACTTGCAACATGATTATTGAGAGAATCTAGTTATAATTTTCATGGCTCATGTGTATATTTTGCAACTTCAGCGCGACGTTTAGCTTGTTCTGCAATCTCATTCAATTCTCTGTAGTTCTTGTCATGGAATAAGCCATTGCTTTCTGCAGTCTGCAGACCGTGTAGTGTACGTTGTGCCACAGCCCATTGTGCTTCCCTTTCGCCTTTTCCATAATCCTTCTTGGTTGTGAAAGCAGTCTAATAGTTTCAAGAAACAAAAATAATTTAAGAGTATCATTAATTCAAGAATGGAATTTGAAAAAAG